GCTGTTTATCAAATAGTAGGTATGGACATAAAAATTTTGGCACATTTTCCTTATAATTATACTAGATAATCTTATAATTGTATAAGGAAGTAAATTAAAACTCATTATACAAGGGCATTTTTGGGTATTCATTTAAAATTTTGAACAAGTCAATACTATTTTAAGATTTTGTTACTAAAACTATCAAATCAAAGGAGGTAGGTGTAATTTTTCAAATCTCAGAAGAGGTCAATGAAATTTTCAAAAATCTCAGGGGATGTTTTTGAAATTATCCCTTCACGGAAAGGTTCAATTGAATCATCAGAAGAACAACAACTGCTTCTTTGCACCTATACAGTTGAATCTTGAGGATAAAATACTGGTTTGGGAGGCAATTAAAAACCCACGTCAAGATCACCTTCTGGCATTGCTAAGACTTCTCTCCTTGATGGACGATCAGTTGGTGTCATCTGTATTGCTCCACTATTGTGGCATTTGATTGTAATCATGTACAGATGTACTCTTATGGGGAAAAAAGAGGTAAATGATTCTTTGTAACCAAAGACAAAAGATGGAAAATTTCGAATCAATTGTCTTACAGATGTTTGATAGAAGTGTGGTTATTAAACAATCTTTCATTATCATCTACAGATATCACATATGAATATGTTAACTTAGCATTTTGATACATCAAGATCAGTTCTTAATTAGTCAAGTCGTCACTCGTGTTGAAGTGGTCTGTGTGGCCTTGTATTGAAGTGGCGTGTGTGGAAGGAATCTCAAGTCTATTGGCTTGGGAGGTTTTCACTTTCCAATAATAATAGACTTGTAGAATTCCACAAAGCAATGCATTTATGAGTCAACCAATGACTAGAATACTAAAGTTGATTAATTCCATATTTTGCGGCCAATCTTTATAAATGAAGAATAAGTTACCCGTTGCCAAGGTCAGAGTTCAAATTTCAATTCTAACAAATAAGTGAATATTTTCCTCACTACATATAGGTTGTTATTCCCATCCTTTTGTGATTTTGTTGAATTATTTGTGATGATGTTCAAGTGTAGATCGTTTCTATTAGGGTTAATCACATTTAATCCCCTTAAGGTATACCCCATTTTTCAGTTTACCCCTAACCTTTAATTTTACTCACTTAACCCCCTATAGGACAAAATTGCCCTTGCATTATTTTGACTTTTTATTTACCTTGTTTTTCTTTCTTTTTCTCTTTCTTCTTTATTTAATTCTTCCTCTTTCCCACAAAAATCTTCACCGTAATGATTGAAATTAAAAAAGAGCAATTGCAGAGATCTATCTTCTCCTTAAATGATTAAAAAAACATTCAAATCACTTTCCTAAAATACAATTTTTTAGCCTTTCAATTCTTTTAATTTTGGATTTTCCTCTTTCCTTTCTAGTTTCTCATTTTATTCCCAAGAAAATATCTTAAGATGAAATTGTGACCTGATTAATAATCATCAATTGAAATTTGGACACATGGCATCATACAAAAAATCAAAATTAGTTTTTGATGCCTTTTAAACCTTCACCCAAAAATATGCAATTACAAACTCAAAAAAAATTCGTTGAAATGGAATTTTGACAGGTGTCGAGCCTGTACAATAATAAATACCTACTCAAGAAAAATACAGATTTTGTATATAGAGGTGAGTAAGGTCGAATTCACAGGGACTGGGGATAACTTATTTCTTTTAGAGTCCAGAGATGGGGGATTTTTGAAAAAATATAAAAAACTAATTAACAACAACTAATAAAACAACTAATAGAAATAAATAAGAATTAATCAATAACCAATACGACTCTAGCCAAAGGGTGCAACTTTTCAGACATGGTCCATTCAACTGATCATCGATGCAAAAGATAATTCAATTACTCATTACTAGATTGGTTATAGTTGTCATACAAGTGATAAACAACCAACCTTTCCTTATTTTTTCGATAGTCAAAGTACGACCATTAACTATTTCCCTAACCAAGAAATAACCCTAAGTACGACCATAGGATTTAATTTCTCGATTGCAATAAGAATTATAAAAGCCCAACCCTAATTAACAAACACGCTACGAGGGTTTGTTTAAATTAGATCATACGTTTCCCTAACATGAAACCAATCACGCTAGTCGTCACTAGTATTAATCAATAGAACAATTATGGATTCTATCAATTAATATGATAATAGATTATTAGATTAATTCGAATATCGGGCCTTGACATTCAGATAACAAAACAATCATAAGCAATTAAACCAGAAAACGTACGAATACCAATGAATAAAAGAAATAAGTAAAATAATTCGATCTTACAGATGTTTGGAATTGGGTGCTCAAATTGACCTTCGACTAGAAAATAAGAATTTAGTTCTTCATTGTTGAGGAAATTCCCAACGTGATACTATCAAAGCCGGCCAAGACATGCGGCTCATCAGCCTCCAAAAATATAAAAAACCTACGTGACTAGTCTCCTAACCGAATAAGAAGAGAAAAGAATAAGGCAACCACCCATTGTTCCTTGTTTTCCGTTTGCTCATTCTAGTAGAACTCCTAGTACAAGTCAACTACTAATCAGCAAAAGGAAAGGAAATCCGTTTGTAGCCCACTGTGGAGCCCGGCTTGCAGATTTTTAGAAACTTCCCAGGTGTGGAGTATTTTTCTCAAGAAGATCCTTTTTTTTAGCACTTTTCTGCTCCACTTCCTGAAATTAGGTCCAAATACCAAATATAAGTATATATTAACAATTAAAATAATATTTGGCAAGGATAAAGAGGAAAATTAATAATAAAATTACTAACAATTAATACCCTATCAAATTTTATATTGGGAAGTGAAAGAGAGAAGAAAAAGAAAAAGAAATAAAAGAATCATCAATTGAAATTTGTGACACGTGGCATCATACAAAAAAAAAATTAGTTTTTAATGCCTTTTAAACCTTCATCCAGAAATATGTAATTACAAACTCAAAACAAAAATTTTCGTTGAAATGGAATTTTCTATTGGGAATCATGAAAGAAAGAATAAAAAGAAAAAGAAATAAAAGAAAGGAAAACAATTTCATCTTAAGATATTTTCTTGGGAATAAAATGAGAAACCAGAAAGGAAAGAGGAAAACCCAAAATTAAAAGAATTGAAAGGCTCAAAAAATTGTATTTTAGGAAAATGATTTGAATATTTTTTTAATCATTTAAGGAGAAGATAGATCTCTGCAATTCCTCTTTTTTAATTTCAATCATTAAGGTGAAGATTTTTGTGGGAAAGAGGAAGAATTAAATAAAGAAGAAAGAGAAAAAGAATTAAATGAAAGGAAAACAAGGTAAATGAAAAGTCAAAATTATGCAAGGGTAATTTTATCCTATAAGGGGTTAAGTAAACAAAAATTAAAGGTTAGGGAGTAAACTGAAAACTGGGGTATACCTTAAGGGAATTAAATGTGATTAACCCTTTCTATTATCCCAGTGGATTTCGAATGTAATCATGTGTACTCTTATTGAAAGAAAAATAATAATAATAATAATGTACAAGATAACGAAAGGCAAAGGAGGGAAAAATTGGAAGTAATTGTCATATACATTTTTTTATCAAAGTGTGTATGTTGAACAAAATTTTAATATCTTCTACAGATATCACAAAATAAATGTTGAATTAGCTGGTTTTGATATGTCAAGATCAACACTTAATTAGTCAAGCCGTTCTTTTTTTAACTATCAATTTTGGAGTCCACGAATTTAAGTCGTTTGTGGAATTTTTCTACTAATAAATCTGTAGAATTCCACAAATCATATTTTTTTTTTAGATGTGGGATCCAATGATAGAAACTGATTTACAAATGCATTAAAAACTAGATGCTGGACTCTACACGTCTAATTTCGACTCCTTTTTTTCCCTGTCCTCTAGAAGTTCCATCTTGACTTGAGTTTTGAGTGCTTGTTCTTGATTAATTTTTGGTTACTTTTTCCGTAGTTATTGTTCTTGAATATATTCTTCTTGTTAGCCGCAATTGGTGGTAATATGAAAACCAAGTGATAGTGCATTCTCTTTCGATATTTGTTCATGAAAAAACAAGAAAATTTGTCGCCTAATAATGGTAACAAGGAAAAGAAAGATTATATGAATGTATGGCCTTTCACAATCCATATTAAAGTCGTACCTTCATCTAGTAGTTTTGGGGTCCAGGATTGAAGAGGTCCGAAGAAATATGAGTCAATTGACTTGGGAGGTTTCGTTTAATAAGCCAGTAGAATTCCACGAACGATACTTTAAAAGCTTATAAATTCACCTAGTAATGAAATCAAATGCATACCACCAACCTGTGAATCAATTTTGCATTGGAAGTTTTAGAAGTGAGAAGAAAATGAAGCTATTTTATTTCTTCATTTTATTATCCTTGATGAATTTATGTGATGCCTCAAGCAAGAAGATTCAGGTCAGGAAAACGTTGAGCAGTTCAAAGAAGATCCCTGTCAAGTCCATCAAGGTTATTCCTTCTTCGCTAGTATAGTTCAGACATGAACCCTTCTTCGCTCACTTTAATATTCATGGTGCTTGTGTTCATGTTCTTGCGTACATCTACGTACTTGTGCTTGTCTAAATTTCTTTTTTTTTTTCCAATTTGTTGTTCTTGTACACGTTTTTCTATGTCTTGTTCTGCTTTCTTGCATAACAAATTGAAAAAGTTGAGTACGCTGTCCACATTTTTAGGACTCACGGACATGAATAACTGATGCCTGATTGTTTTAAATGGCAGAGCCCTGATGGTGATATTATTGATTGTATCAACATTTATCATCAACCAGCATTTAATCATCCTTTGCTCAAAAATCATACCATTTTGGTGAGCCTTTCTATCCTACCCAAAAGCAAGACAAGGGAAAAATCTCTACAAGGGCATGTGTATATTCAAATTTGTACACATAATTGTGCAAGTAATTAAAAGTAAAAATTTTACGTATTTTTGCACGTTGCAGATGAGGCCTAGTTTCCAGCCTCGGAAAGGACCAATTGGTGGGGTGAACTATTCCAATCCAATGCTCATGGCCAAGAGGATAAAAAACCAATTGCTCAGTTATGGCAGTTGGGTGGGAGATGCCCTGAAGGAACTATTCCTATTAGAAGAAACCAGAAAGCAAGATACGCAAAGAAGAAGCACAGAAACTTTCCCCAGCTCGCTGGCTTTTCCAATCACGAGGTACCATAAACAATTGGAAATTGGTTGTGTACCTTAACGGAAGGATGACCTATTCTGTGTCACGTAGTCCCACACCATGCCATCAAAAGTAGAACGACCGTCGTGCGTTTCACGGCTCACCGGTTAGCCATGAGAACGATCGTCATGCATTTCTTAACGTTGTCAACGAAGTATCGAGCACTGGCGGTTAGAACCAACGGAGAATCGTTGGTAGGCCATTTTTTAGCGAAGGCAAAAGAGCAACTACGTGCGACGGCTGTGACAGTCACTCGAAACATCTACTCATACTATATTTTTGCTGGAATTTTGTAGCAACACACGCCTGCATGTTTACATAGGTTTAATACTTGGTGTCTGCTAATTTTCCTTTGGAGTATTATATATCAAAATTCCTTTAACAGGAAGGAAATTTTTTAGTTTGTTTAAATCTCTCTCATTTTTAGCTTATTTTATCGATTTCTCATTTTCTTTTTTCTTCAATTCTTTAGTATGCATATGCATCTGTCCAGAGTAACAAGTATTTGGGAGCAAAGGCAACAATAAACCTTTGGCAACCCCAGGTTCAGGGCAGTGGTGAATTTAGCTTGGCTCAAATATGGGTTGTTGCAGGTGATAATTCAGGTCTAAACACCGTTGAAGCTGGTTGGATGGTACTTCTTCCCTATAATAAATACATCTGGCCATGCATGTGTCTTGAACTTTATTGTCTACTTATTTCGTTTGTATATATATATATAATAGGTATATCCAAGTCACTTTGGAGATAGCAACACAAGACTTTTCACTTACTGGACCGTAAGTCACAAAATATTATCAACCCTAATGCTAATATAATATGTTTGCCTGAGTCTAAATTTTTATCATATGTATGTATCAAAATTTGGTAATGCTAACAGCGTGATCGCTATCAATCCACTGGGTGCTACAACTTGGACTGCCCTGGCTTTGTTCATACCAGTAATTCAATTGCATTAGATGTTGCCCTTTCACCAGTTTCTACCTATCATGGTGCTCAACATGAAATCATCCTACAAATCTTTAAGGTAATGACAGCCAAAATTGATTAAGATCCCAGCATATTATGTACAACATAACCCTAATTTTTTTCTGGGATTTGAAAAACTCATAATATAGTGGTATAATTTTGTTTAGGACCCAAAGCAAAATGTGTGGTGGCTACAACACGGGAATGACGATGTAATTGGTTATTGGCCTGCTTCCTTATTTACAGACCTAGCAGACAGTGCTTCACTAATTGAATGGGGTGGAGAGATAATAAATGATGCTCAAGATGGGCAACACACCACAACTCAAATGGGCAGTGGCCATTTTGCTGAAGAAGGGTATAAAGGGGCAAGTTACTTCAAGAATCTTCAAGTAGTTGATCAATCCAACACCTTAGTCCCTCCTGGTGATATCAAACCTGTAGCTAGAAAGCCGGATTGCTACAACATAGTACCTGGAAAGAGTGATGATGCGGGAGATTACTTTTACTTTGGTGGACCAGGAAGAAATCCTAAGTGTCCATGAACAAAAGATGCAGAAATCTTGATATGCGAGAGGCAGAATCTTGATATGCATTTGATCATCTGAATACAGAAATTGATTACATTTCTTTAGGCATTAAATCAAATTGTAGAAGGCAAACAATGCCAAAGCAATACACATATTCAGAAGCAAGAAAAATCAAACTGTACTACTCTACTATCATCATAATATTTACCTGTATGCCTGAATAAATAACCTTCTTATTCTCAAGCTCCTCCTTCTCTTTCCATGTCATATACGCCTGAGACGTAAAATGAAACCAAATAACGTCCATGATAAAATGATAGAGACTGGGGAAATGAGAGTTACCAATGGAGAACTGGTAATCACTTTGCAACCTAACATGCTGCATTCATGTATGAGATTCAAATGTTATCTATTGCCAAATTAAATGCCAATATCCTGCTTTAAACTCTATTTCCATTTTTGCTGGATATGATGTTTTCAGCTGTCTGAATTTTCTTGAGAACGAATCCATTATCTGGAGATGTGTTTGTGGCTATGTAGCATACTGGATCTCGTATGTCTTACTAAAAGGTTAAAAAAGCAAAATAGTTTTGTATTAACAATTGTAAAATCCATTCGTCTTACCCCATTATTTTCTTTGTTTATTTGGAAAAATTTTACGATACATTTTAGTATTTCGGTTATTAGCACTATATTTATTTCTTCTTTGGCTGTCCAAATATGTTTCGAATTCTTGCTTTGATGCATAAATTAAAAGAGTTGCATCTTTTGATTTTTTTTTTAATCAAATTAAAATTTTATTGCTGCAAACAACAAAAATACCCAGATCGGGTCCACCCATTTCCAGGAGTACAAATTCAAACCCTGACCAAACCCCCCACCCCCTACCGCCGGCACCTACGAAAGCTTGGGAACCCGTACACATCCAAGGTAATGTCCCCCCTCACCAACCTAGGTAAAGCACTATAACCCTCATAAATGCTAGTATGCCCATCCTCACTCCCGCGTTAGACAACCTGTCCGCCGGCTTGTTTGCCTCCCGATAGCAATGAGACACGGCATCAAAATACCGTCCATATTGCTGCAGCTCTCGTAGCTCATTCTGCAAGCATCTTTTGATTAATTGTTTAAGTTCCATGCATTGTAACTCAAATTGGTTAAGTAACTTTCAGCTGCACAGATGAAAATGAATAAACAAATGAACAAGGATGATATCTGGCAAAAGTTCCATTGAAGTATTATTCATTGTCTCTGAAGGTGCAAAGAGCATAGTTCAAAGACAACATGGTACATCTATGCAATTGAAATGTATACCTAACTAGAAACTAAATATCTTCTTTTACATTATATCAAGTCAAAGATACGTAATTAAAAAGGAAGTAAAACTCGAGATATGAAAGTAGAATAAAAAAATGTCTCACCATAGTGCGGAAAATAATAATTAGCAAATTATACATACTTTAATGAAATTACTACAATTGAGCAAGAGTCCAACAGATTAAGTTATCAATTTAAAATATATTTCATGTTATATGTAGAAATTAATCTTTCAAAGAATCGTTCAAATGTCTCTCACATTTAATCAAATGAATATTATCATCCTTTACTGTTAAAATAGTAAATTTACATTTCTTACAAAATCAAGTCGATAAATTTTGGTTTCAACTTAGATTTTCGATCATTTTTTACCTGTGTAAAATGGTTGGCATAACTTAATTACACTGAACCAACATTTTTAACTGTGATTTGAGATAGTTATACAGTGGATGGATTTTTGTTAGGACCAAAACAGGGCGTGTGGTGATTACAATATGGAATGACAGTCACAAAGTGAGATTAATAATGTTCATTGGGCTACAAACTTCAGACTAGGAGACTTAACTTTAGGATTTTCTTTTCTATGGTTTCGGCCTTAGTTATTTTCAGCACCAGATATGCCCCTCATTGATAATTAAGTAGATTTCCTTTTTATATTAAAAAAAAAAAAGTAAAATGCAGATTGATTCTCATGTCTGACAGAGAAATTGTGCTTACACGCACCATTTGCATTTGCTAGAATTCCTATTGCACCTGTACTGATGTTTAAGAGTGGAGTTTATTTATTATTGTTTTTATAATTGTTATCATATATGTGTCTGTCTGTATCTGATTATATATGCCTAGAACTATATCCATCAACCTGTACTAATGTTGAACTAGTAATGAGAATCTAGGGATTTATTCACGTTCATTGGATATATTTATCACTTAACTTACTTTAATTAGAATTGACAATCGTTCCAAAAAGAGTAACGATTTCAACTTTTTCTTTTTTTTTCCGATAGAAACCATCATTTTATTCATATGATCCGCACTAATGGTGGAAAGAGTAATGGTTTCAACTTTTTAAATATTCGTTTTGTTCACAGTTTAATGTTCTTGCAACAGGTTGTCATCCGATTGTGGACTTTTTTCTTTTTCTTGATTCTATTTCTGTTTTTTGTATGCGTTCCTCGTACTTTGTTCTTCTATTTTCATGTTTAATACATTGAACAAGACAACAATGGTTTCCGTATTTGGGGTGGATAGTTACATATTTAACCAACCAATTGAATCAACTATGCACAGGCAGCTCCAAAAAAAAAAAAAAAAAAAAAATCGTGGATAGGCTGTTTAGTAGTGAGAAGAAAATGAAGGAATTCTATTGCTTCATTTTGTTATTCGTGATGAGTTTATGTGATGCTTCAAACAAGACCCCCATCAAGTCCATCAAGGTAGTCCCTCCTTGTATGGATCCATGTGCTTTTTTTTTTTTTTAGTGCATCTTCAAATCTTGTTTTTTTTTTCCTGGCACGATAAATTTAAAAGTTACGATTTTCATATTTGGGGGTTCACATAAATCTAGTTCCTTGAAATGGCAGAGCCCAGATGGTGATATCATTGACTGTATTCATATTTATGATCAACCAGCATTTGACCATCCTTTGCTGAAAAATCATACCATTCTGGTGAGTCTTTTTATCCCCCTGTCACATAGAAAATCAAATATGTACACATGATTTTGTTATTGGATGAATATAAAACTGTATATTTACATACATGTATATATGTTTGGATGTTGCAGATGAGGCCTAGTTTTCATCCAAGCTCAGAGCTACTCAATGCTCATGGCCAAGAGAATACAAATTCAATTACTCAGTCATGGCAGTTGAGTGGGAAATGCCCGGATAATACTATTCCTATTTTGAGAAACCAAAATGCAAGAAAAACCAAGAAATATGTGATGAAGCAGAACGAAACTGTTTCCCAGTCTTCTTCAGATGATGATATGAAGTCTCTTGACCCGTACACTCATGAGGTACCACAAACAATAGGAATATTCTTCTGTAGATAATGTCATGAATTTTTTTTGCTTTTATAAAATTGTGAAGTTTCGATACATATGGTGCAGTCACTTGAAACAATGACAAAAGTATATTATGTTTATGTTACTATTTTCTTGTTGCACATACGTAGATATCTATCTACATATATTTAGTACTCTTACTTTTTGAGTGTATTAAAATTTGAAAAAGTTTTGGCAACTTTGGAGTGAATTCTCATTAGATGATGGTAATTGAAGCATTTTGAAGAATTAATCACAAAACGCTCCCCTCTTAAATTTTGCGAATATAATTATTGATTGAATTTAAATGAGACAAACTTAAAAGTTTAAGATGCAATGTGTTTAAAATTAAGAATTTATGGTACAAAATATCTAAAATTAAAGTTTAAAATATAAAGTAAAAAAGTGATATAAGTTTGAAAATGCAAAGTGGAATCAGTCAGCCCTTATATTTTCTTTCTCACTTTGCTTCCTTTGTTAATAAACTCATCAATATGACCAAAATGCCCTTGTCACATCAACCGCTAAATTTGACAAAAGTACCTATAGGCACAGTATATTAAAAAACGAACTTATTTCTCCCTTTTTTTTTCTAAGTATACAAAAACCATATATACACACACACATACACATACGTACGTACATACAAACATATATATAAAGTGGGTGCTCTAACTACTAAAAGAAATACAAGCACCCATATGAACATTTTTTAGTTCCAAATTCCTGGAAAGTGAGGCTGACCGTTTCTAGGCTTTTATAAATTTTTTATAATATTTTCACATTTTAATTTTTTAGATTATGGTTTTCTAGATTTTTTTCCCATTTTCACATGAAATAAGCAACACGTTGCCTTCATCTCGGAAAAGTGTAATCTTGGGACAAAATTTAACTAAATCCAAATCCATCAGTATAT